GAAAACGTCCCTCGGTGATTCTGGTGTGCGGCTGCGGTGAGATCCCAGAGCCTGTTCCAAGTCAGGGGCTCCTCAGGTGGGGAAGGTGAGGCTCGCGGAGGTGAAGTGGCTGGCTGATCCTTACTGGTCAGTCACGCAGGGGGCGGGGCCTAGCTGGACTCCTGGGACTGCGCTCAGTCCTGGGCTGATTCTCATGTCTAAAAGTTTCTTGTTTTCTTTTCGAAGTGTCAAGACACACATCTCTCTCCCTTCCTCCCCTCCCCTCCCCTCTCCTGTCCTCTCTCTCTCACTTCTCTCTCACTCTGTGTCCTTTTTCTCCCTCAGTAGTGCTTTTGTATCTTGGGTCACTCACGATCCCAAGAGGGCGCTGGGCAAGATTCTGAGACCGACTCAGCCTGAGCCACGTGGAACCCAGACCGCTGCCCGTTCCCAGCGGTGACGAGGGAAGCAGTCTGTCTGCCTCTCCGACTTCCTGCGAATGCTTTGGAAAGTTACAACCCCAACTGCTTTTGTCCCCTAGAATTCCAAAGACACCGTGTTCCCCAAGAGGAGAGAGTTTCTAATTCATTTATTTCCGCATTTGCTTACACTTTGATATCTATTAGAGTACAGGGATAAACTTGTTTTCTATATTCTGAAATTTTTTAGCGGAACTTTCTGACTGGATCAGGCTGTGGTGAGCAGAGTAAGGTTCAAGGTGTTGCTGAGTTGCGAAACTACCAGTCTTTGCTGAGCTGTCCTCCTGGAGAGGCACGTGTCCTGAAACGCGGGTCAGCAGACTGCCCCCTGTGCGAGAATGTCGCACCCTCTGCATACAGTGGCCCACCCTGTTTTGAGGAGTATGTGTAACCAATCCCAGTAAAGGTGAGTCCCCTCCTCTGTTCAGGGAAACGCTGCTTTGGGAGACATCCTCAGGGCTCTCTTTACTGCTGCAAGTAATACACTGTTGCGCCGCAGGGCGGCGAGGCAGGCACGCCGCAGCAGGGCCACGCGGCTCAGGTCGCCACTTGTCCCAGGCCCTGGCAGCCGCTGCCCTGCTGTGGGGAAAGGAGCGAGCCGCGGGGAGTGCGGCGCCCCCTGAACCTGAGGGAAACCAGCAGGGGCCAGCGGAGCGGGGAGCAGGGCTCTGAATTCCGCAGAGCCCGGCCCGGGTTGTCGCGGCTGAGGGGAGTGAACACGAGCTGCTGCGAACACTTTTCGCTTTGCCGGGAGAGCGGACGTGGCACTTCCCTCTCAGTGAGGAAGGCCCATGGCACAGCCCTCTCGTGGGGAAGGCCCTGAGGCCCTTTGTCCAAAGGCTTTTGCTGAAAAGCTTATCGGTGGGGCTAGGTTCACAGGAATGCACAGGTTATCTCGTTCTATCAGTATGTTAATGTTCACAGAGAATAAGTGATGTTTTGAAGAAGACAAATGGCAGGAACACATTGATTTCCATGGGTCCAAGAGGAGACTAGTAAACAAGGGAGATGACTAAACATGAGAGCATAGGAAATGTAAGAGTGCCCAAGGGTATAGGGTTAGGGTGTGAGAAAAATGTAAATTTCCTTCCCAGCATGAGCTGGCTAGAGCTTTTGAGGGAGGAAGAAAGCACACTTTAAAGAGTTTACATGTAGGCACGATTTCCCCGGGAAACGCCAGATCTGGTTTGGGGCTGATTGTTCGTATTGTTTCAGCCTGACTGAGCCACGCGGGGAGAGGGAGCTGCCAAGAGACAAGGAGACTGCTTTCAGACAGAATGAGGACTCCGGCCATGTCCACGTGGAGCCGAGAGGTGCAGGCCTTTCTGCCCTTGCTCCATGTCCCCCAATTTCTAGTCTGCTGCCAATAACCAATTGACATCTGTCTTAGGTTGTACCTCGGTTTGAGGTAACTTACCCATCCTTGATTAACCAATCCTCCATGGCAAAGCAGAGAGGCAGGAGCCACGCCCCTGCAGCCAGACAGGTTTTGTCTCCTCAGGAGCCCGTTTCTCCAAAGCCTCCCTGACTGTTTATAGCCTTGGGGCCCTCCAGCCTGTCAGCCAGTTAGAGTTCCTGAAACCAGACAGGATGTTTCCCAACAATAAACCTCCTTTGCTCATATGCTGCCTTGATGGACATTCTCTGGGCTACAAGAAATGAAACCCATATGTTCAGTAACAATGTGTCAGTAACTAAGCTTTTAGATTTGGTGAGGGCTGAGATGAGACATGAACTGAGTAGGAGAGATTGAGCAGAAGATGCTTTTCGTGGCTGGCAATGTGTCCAATCAAGGATTTCTAAGCCACAAATACTCTTGTAGCTGTTCCTCTTTCTTGTCTCATTTTAAGGGACAAAGTACAGGTAACTTTCTTTAAAAGAAATCCTCACTTTCACTTGAAGACTTAAAGTCATCATCATCATCATCATCATCGGTACCTGATCACCTCTTGTTTGCATGCTTCTATGTGCCGGGGAGCTCCTAATGTTTAAACTCGAGTTCTGTGAATTACAGTTAGGGAGAATGTGAATGTTACCAGGGAGACCCGAGTCTGGGACTTCCCGACCAAGGTTCCTGCCTTGCTAGGAAGGCATGAATTGAAGCAAGACAAATTGCAGAGTGGAATGAAATAGCAAGTTTAGTTATGAGCTATGGAGGAGCTCAGGTAGTAAGTTTGTTAGTAATTGTATTCCAAACTCTTCAGCCAAGGCTACTAGTGAGCATTGAGCTAATCTCTGTGTGCAGACCACTAGGTTCAGGGGTAAATACTTCACTCAGTTTCTGCGTTCCCCTGTCTCCTCCTGCTTCTAAACCGTGGGGATATTGTAGAGTTACACACATTTTCTTCCTCAGTTAGTAAAGGCTCTGTGTCTTAGGGACATTGTTACAGAGGTTCCCTTTGCCAGCATAGGCCCCCTGCTTTCTCCTGTGCAATTCTCACTTGTGATGTTCAAAATACCCCGCAGTCTTTGTAGGATTGTTACCGAAGTCCCTTTTCTCAGCACAGTCTCAAGCATTCTCCCATCCTCCTGCGCCATTTTGCTGTGATGCTCGATGCTCGGGACACGTGGCAATCTTTTCAAGCTGAGTTCAGGACTGCTGAGTGTGAGTCAGTCACACGTGTCTTTGTTTTGCTTATGTCTCCGTAGCAAGTTCTTTGTTAGCCTGTGATTGTGAGAGTCATGATTTTATTTCCCCTCTTGCTGCTCATTCCTAGCTGCCACCTAACAAGGCCACATACGAGAATCAACAATTGCACGTGCAGATGAGTGGAACAAGATATGAACGTTTCTCTTTCTACCTTCATCTCTCTCTCTCTCTACGATGAATAAACACATTTTTTGAAAAATGTTGTAAAAGAGGTTCTCTTGCTATTTGGCTCATAAGCTTCATTCCTGATCAAGGTGGACTGTTTCTTTCTTTGAAGCTCTAACCCAAAGTAACAGTATCCTGATCACTGTATTAGAAGTGGCTTTATATCATATTACATATTTATATTACGGTAGAGTCCTTCCACATATTTGAGGCAAACTAAAATCGGGGTTACCTCCCTTAAGTCTTCCTTTTTTCTGGGCAGTCTTTTGGAACTCTGCCACCAAAGTTCAGGATGAGCAGGAATGAGCCGACGTTGTCCTTTCGGGTCTGAGGCTGATCTGGTTGCACACCCTGGCCACTTACTGGGTTTTTGCAGCACTAGGGACACCCTTCAGTATGGCCCCAGGTCTAGTCAGTGGTGATCTGGTTTCATACAACTCAGACCTGACCTGGACACCTCAGGACGCAACACTTGGTTCTTATCCCTTGACTCTTCATGTGACGCTGTGGACGAGAGATGCCGTTACACCTTTCCATCTCTTTTCTCAAGTGCCCTATTTTTCTTGGCTCAGTCACTGGACAGTCTTTCCCGAGACTAAAATTCCTTTACTTTATTATTTACAGTCCGCATGGGAAAACGTGGATGACGACCGTACATATATTTCTATGCTACAAGTCCAAGTCTTGCTAGTGTCGGTTTTGCAGAAAAGCAAATCTAAGGGTCTCCTCTCAATAGGCACTTCAACTGATTAAATTAACTTTAGCTAAGTAGAAGTTTGCTAAGCCAACCTACTAGGGAATTACCATTTTTTTACAGTATCGGGAAAGTGGGGCCATTTCCAGTCCAAACTAGGGAGAAATTAGGAGGTCAGCAGGCGCCCGTAGTAGGAGACTAACCTGTACGCAGGATCCCACCCTAGCACTTATTTTTCTCCACCTCTTACTGGAAACACCACGAGTACAGAAGATGACCTGGTCCAGGTTGAGGTAGGCCAAGCCCAGGTGCCATTGGCACCAAGGGGACTGGACAGTGCTCTTACACAGGTACAACAGTCGTGTCTGGCGACTGACACGTGAACAAGAACATATGTATCTAGGAGGGAGAACACTAAAGGTAAGAAACTGTTGGCATTCGGGACTAACATGTTTTGTGTAAAGTCTGGAGTTGGTAGCACGTACATTTCTCTGTCCCTCACTATAAGGAAGAGGTTATAGACCTCTTCTTGTCATTGATTCTCCAGAAGGGTACGCAAGGCACAGAATAATGAGGAAGACACAACTCCGCGCTCAGAAGATAGGAGCAAAGTCGGGTTGAGACTCCAGTTTAGAGATTTGCAGACTTTATACCATAAAATGAGCAATTTCGGTTTCCAGAGGAGCAAACAGGCAGATCTTCGCTGGACATTGGCTCACACAGCCAGTCGTGGCAGGTGTCCCTGCCTCTGGGCTGAGTGAGCTAAGCACAACTGGCACCTCCTAGCTCCTAGGGCTCTGGAAGGCCAGCATGGTACAGACTCTGAGAGGAATTCACATGTCATTAGAACTGATCTTCACCATCTTCTCCTCCAACATTTTCAAAGCGAAACAAAGAAAGCAGTCACTTTTAGTTTCGTGTTGTCTCAGCAGCAGCAGGATCTCTGACCAAGGTCAGTTTCACTTTCCAGTTTTTCCCTGTGGTTCCTGCAAGGACACGCCCACAGGTTTGCAGAGCAGTTGCTGTTTCCCTCCCTTACAGAGCGCTGCCCTGGGGCTTAAATTCATCTGGAAATCTCCAAGTCAAGCAGGCAGATCTCAGAGGAGCCCACCCAGAGAGGAAAACACTGCACGGCTGCCGCCTGAACCACAGCAACAATGAGGTAAGGGTTTCTTGCTTCTCTTTCTGTCTAAGTTTTTGATAAAAATTACTAATCATTACTATTTCAACAGACTTCGTTTCAATGATGTCAGGTTCCCTCACTCTTCTGTTTGAGCATCTGCGCGTGGGCTGAGTGTGTGTCTGTGTACAATCATACATGCATGAACTGTTTCATTAATTCAGGCATTTTCCCTTTTGTTAGCATTGCCCTGAGCAAGCTTACCTCCTGTTAAAGCCTAAAGAAGAGGGTGGGGCGGGGGAGCGGGAAATGGCAAAGGACTTTTGCAGGAGAAGATCATCCCAATCTCTGGTATTACTTTCCACCAAACTCACTTCTGTCTGACATAGGGAGGGAATGGTCAGTTTGCCTGGATAGAGACAATGCTTTTAGTTGCCTCCTCAGCATGGAGGAAATGCAGGATGCACACAGCTGTGTGACGCACATTGGAGAGGCAGGCAGATGTCTGGTGGGAAAGGCTGTGGGAACGTGGTAGGAGAAGCTCACTGCCTAGAAAACAAAGCCTTCTGTCGGCTTCTGGTCTCACTGTCTGCACTGCTGAGCTCCTATGTCAGGCCAATCCTATGTGACTGCATTTCAGGTTAGGAGCCTTGATCGCTTCCTGTCCCTGGAGCATGGCTGCAGTTCTGCACTGGGGACATCCATATCTTCCTTAGCTGAAGGACCTAATGTGGGATTTTCTATACAGTCCACACTCAATCTACATTCCAATAATTCCTGATATCAGCAGATTTTTGAAAATGACATTACTCGATCAATACTGATCTGCCAAATTCACCTCCGTGCTCCAATCGGAAAAATTTTGAAGGGGCAAAAGTTTCAGAATATGCAGAAGTATGGGCCTTTAATCGACTCTCCTTCCTTACCTCTCCTTCCCCTTCCCTGCATTTCGGTCCACAGACAAACACGGTGTGTTGTCACTGATAATTTTCATTATTATTATTACATAAAACTAGCCATCACTTTCTGAACGTTTATTAAGTGCGAGCTGGCTTCCAAAATTGTGTAAGTAATTGCATTTCCCCCTCAAAAGACATTTGTGAGGCAGGTTCTCAAACTGATTCTGCTATAATGAATCTTCGATTTGAAAATGGAAAGATCACACAGGTAGTAAGTGATAGAGCTGAGACATGAACCACAGTCTCCATTCAATGAGGCCTTATTGGACCTTGAAACCAATGTTTCATCAGGGCTACTGTAAGGGAGCAGACAGGAGCCCGTTCACGTGGTGCTTTGGTATAGGACCCAACATTTAATGCTGGACGAACAGGTCTGTATCGTAACTATTCCAGTCTTCGGGCTGCTCAGAGCCCTTCTTTCCCACAAGACCCAGCACTTGCCTTGTTCCCCAAAGGGCTATAAGCTAATAGAAAACCCGAGAGTTCCCATTTTCTTAAGCTGGTTGCGCAAACAGTTCTCCAGCCCCCCTGGGAGGTACCACAGCGGCCATTCTGGCGCAGCAGCTCTCCCCTTCGGGCTCTGGGGTGTGTCATCATGAGCCTCCACGTGAGAGCCCAGGAAAGCGTGTGCTGTGGTTCCCTGGATCATAGTGAAGTCCAGAAAAGGCACAGGTCTCAGAAGTCCAGATGAAGCCTGCTTTGCACGGCAGCAGGTCAGCATCTTGCAAGGAAGTGTCCTTGATGGCTTCGAGGTCTGCCAGAGCAGGCACGATGAAAGTGGCCTCCCTGCTTTCTTACCAGCCCATGCAGAACAGCTCCTAGAACCCGCATGGCTCCTACCTTGACGACAAGCTACACCATATCTCTGCTCTTCCCTTCCAAGCCGCGTGGCCGAATTCCCTCTCGTGGCTGCCCGTCTTCGTTTAAATCCACCCCGGAGTCTCCTATGTCCCCCCATCCCTAACTCCTCCCACAATGGGCTACATTCTGCCAGTCCTCTGTACACTTTACATTCTCTGTGCCGCCATCTTCGTCAGGGCTGGCGTGCCTCCAGGAGGCAGGGCAACAGCCTCCGTGCTCCTCGTGCAGGTGCTGTAAGCACACGGCTGCATCATGAGTCAAAGTCATGCCCGACTCCTGGGCCCTTAGTGGCAGCATAGCAGCGAACATAACTGTTAAACCAGCCAAGATGCTAGTGATACAAAAGTACCTCTTGAGCACTCACCCAATCCCCCAAACCATGGATAATGGAGAGCCATATTTTGCCGTATTTGCAAAAAAACCACTTATGTGCTCAACTTTTTGAGGGAAAAATGAGGATGCATATGATACATGGATAGTATGAATTCCATAGCTATATAAAAGTTTTTGATTCTTTTATTTTTGCTTATGCGTTACAAGTGTAACTCTAGAAAGCAATAATTATATCGGTATGTTCGGAAATAAACACCAAAATTCCTTTATAATACAAATACAAGTCTCTAAATGTAATTCAAAATAATTTACTTCATTTGGCATAATACACAGGCAGTGGTGTATTCTTTGAACCCTGCTCTACAGTGCTTTATAGGACCTCTGGAGGCTGGTGAGATCATTTCAGTTGGTTTCCGAATAAGTATGTTTTAATGCTTTTTGTTCTTATTTCAACATGTACCTAAAAATATACACATATACTCTGAAGAATTTTCGTTTGGGTTAGTCATATGTTTTTTATGGTGATAAAATACATGTAAGGTAAAATTTACATTCAACTTATTTTTAACTATTCATTTAAACTCTTTTTAAATAGTCAACTTTGCAGCGTTTCTGACATTTGCAATGTTGTGCAGCATTCACTAGTGTCTACTTGACGAATGTTTTCATCACTCTGAGGGGAAACTCCACACCCATTAAGCAGTCACTCGCCACTCCTCCCTTGACCCAGGCCCTGGCAACCATTAATCTGCTTTCTGTCTCTATGGATTTGCCTATGGTGGATATTCCACATGAGTGGAAACAGACAATGTGTGGCCTTTTGTGACTGACATATTTCAGCTGGTATTATGTCTTCAAGATTCACCCATGTTGTAGCATGTGTCAGAAGGTTGACTAAGATTGCATTGTATGTATATACCACCTTTTGTTCATCCAGTCATCCATTGATGGACACTTGCATTGCTTCTACCTTTTGGCTGTTGTGAGTAATGCCGTTAGGAACACAAGTATACAAATATCTGTCTGATTTCCTATTATCACTTATGTTGGGCATATACCCAGGAATGCCGTTGCTGAATCCTTTGGTGATTGTACGCTTAATTGTTTGAGGACTCACCCCATCTTCCACAGCAGCTGCCCCATTTTACACTCCCACCATGCACAACGGTTCCAATTTCTCCCTCTCTCCTCCAACACATTATTTTCTGTTTTTCTTTTTTTAATAATAGCTGTCCTAATGGCTGTGAAGTGGTATCTTACTGTAGTTTTGAGTTGCATTTTGCTATTGGTTGGTGATGTTGAATATCTTTTAATGTGTTTATTATCCATTTGTACATCTTCTTTGGAGAAACTGTCTTCTCTCATCATTTGCCCATGTTTAAACAGATGTTTTGTCGTTGTTGTTGTTGTTGTTCGTGAGTTGTAAGTGTTGCTTATAAAGTCTGGATATCAATCCCTTATCGGATACATGATTTGCAAATAAATTTCCCCATTCTGTGAGTTTTCTCACCCTAGTGATAGTGTCCTTCTGTGCATTGAAGTTTTAGATTCTGATGTCTAACTTACCTATTTTTACTTATGTTGCCTGTGCTTTTGGTATCATATCCAAGACATCATTGCCAAATACAATGTCATGGGGTTTTCCCCCTATGTTTTCTTTCACTCTTTCCATAGTTTTAGGACTTACATTTAGGTCTGTGATCCCCTCTGAGTTCCTTTCTATTCTCTGTATATATGCTGTAAAGTAAGGGTCCAACTTCACTCTTTTGCATGTGGATACCCAGTGTTCCCAAAACATTAGTTGAAGCAATGATTTTTCCCCATTAAATGGTCTTGGCATAAGTGTGAAAAATGATATGACCATTCTTACGGACTGAATTGTGTCCCCTCAAATCCATATTTTGGAACCCTAACCCCCAATATTACTGTGCTTGGAAACAGGGCCTGTTAAGAAGGTTAAGTGAGGTCATAAAGATGGAACCTTAATCCCACAGGTCTGGTGTCCCAGTAAGAAAAGGAAGAGCACTCGTTTTCCTACACCATACTCCATGGAGGAAAGGCCATGTGGAGAGGCCAAAAAGGGGGTTCATACAAGAACTGAATCATTAGGCACCCTGATCAAAGACTTCCAGACTCCCAAACTATGAGAACACCCATTTCTTTTGCTTCAATCAGGTGTTCTATGGTATTTTGCTATGGTATTCTTCACTGACTAGTGACTAGGACACCCATACATATGAAGGTGTATTTCTGGGCTCTCTAGTCTCTTCCACTTCAATATATGTCTGTGTTTGTGCCAGTGCCACTTTGTTTTGATTACTGTAGCATTGTAGTAAGTTTTGAAATTAGAAATTGTTAGACCTCCAACTTTGTTCTTCTCCAAGACTGTTTTGACTATTGTAGGTTCTTTGAGATTCCATATGGATTTTAAGGTGGAGTCATTCCTCTATTTCTAGGAAAAATAAAAGTCATTGAGATTTTGATACAAATTGCATTGAGTTTAGAGACTGTGTTTGAGTTGTATTTGCATCTTCACAGTACAAGCCCTCCAATCCAAACACCCAAGATGGCTTGTATTGCTTTTTTTAGTCTCTATGTCATTTATTTTTGCCATGATATTTATTTCTTCCTTTCTTTTACTACTCATGGTTTTTCTTGTTCTTTTTCCAGCTCTTTTAAGGGTTGGTTTAGATTGTTTATATTATATTTTCTTGCTTCTTGAAATAGGCCTGTAATGCCATACTTCCCTCTCAGGACTATTCTCACTGTGTCCCGTATATTTTGGGTTTTGTATGTGAGTTCATTTGCATTTGTTTCCTGGTAATTTCTTCTCTCTTCTTGATCCCATTTGTCGCCCATTCATCGTTTCATACCATGCTATTTAGCCTCCGTGTGTTTGAACGTTTTGATTCTTTTTAGCAGACTTGATTTCTAGTTTCATGCCATTATGATCCAAGAAGACGCTGACATGATTTCAGTCTTCTTGAATTCATTAAGTCTTATTTTGTGTCCTAACATGCGTTCTCTCTGTGAGACTGTTCCGTGTGTGCTTGAAAAGAAAGTACAGTCCGCTGCTTTGTGATGCAATGTTCTGTAAATATCAAGTAAATCTATGAGATCTAGTGTGTTGTTGATGATCACTGTTTTCTTGTTGGTATTTTGTCTGACTGTAAATCCAGTGTAGTCAGTGGGGTGTTGAAGTCCCCCACTATGACTATACTGTTGTCGATCTCTCCCTTTAAGTCCACCAAGTTTGGCAGTTTCTTAAATGTGAGCACACACTTATCATATGCCTCGGCTGTTGCAACTTTGGTCATTTATCCCTGCGAAATACAAAGTTATTTTATTTGTATGTTGGTACAGGCAAAAATCTATACGAAACTGTTCATAGCACCTTTATTTGTAATAGGCCCAAACTCGAAACAACTCAAGTACTAATGAGAAGTAAAAAAAAAAAAGCCAATCTGAAATGTCACATACTATATGATTCCATTTATGTGACACTCTCGAAATTACAAATTACAGACATAAAGAACAAATTAGTGGTTATCAGAGTCTCTGGAATTCTTTGGAGGGAAGGGACAAAAAATGTGACTACAAATGGATAGTGCAAGGGAGATATTTATGATCAGGGGATAGCTCTGTATCTTGTTTGAGGTGCTGGTTCCATGGATTTATTCATGCATTAAAATGACATAGAACTATACACGTATTTAACCAATTTCAATTCTCTCATTTTGATATCATACTCTAATTGTGTAAGATGTAACCATTGCAAGAAACTGGGTAAAGGGTACACTGAAACTGTGTGTTCTCTCTGCTTCCTGTGACTCTATGATTCTGTTCAAATAATAAGTGAAAGAAATAATTTGTCAAATCATCTCTTATAGGTGCTCCTATTTTGTTGCATAACCTGCAGACCAAGGTCCTGAGGTTCTACATTTCTACCTGGACTCTCTAAAAGTTATATTAAGAGGAAAAAAGAAAAATCTTTTTAAGAATTTCATATTTCTGGATCTTTAGAGAGAGACACAGAGAAAGAGATACATCCATTTGTTGGTCCAGCTAGTTATGCATTCATTGGTTGCTTCTTGAATATGCCCTGAGCAGAGTTTGAACCAGCAACATTGGTGTATCCAGGCACTGGTCGAACTACCTGAGCTACCCAGCAAAGAGCCAAGAAAATGTTATAATATGCTCTAGGAAAAGCACATAATATGCTGTAGGCGCTTTGCACATATGGCTTATGAAACCTCACCAAATCCAGTGTCATAAGAAATATTAGTATTCCTATTTTTATGAATAGGACATTGAGGCACAGAGAGGTTACTTGGAGAGAAAGTGCTGGAGCCAGCCCATGGAGCTAAGCAATTGCATTCAAAATCCAAGCATGTCTTAGAAATACTGTTGATCATTGACCAATGCAGAAGGTAGGGATGCCAACCCCATCCCCCACTCCCCTCCCCTCAGAGTCAAACACTCACTATTACTTTAAAGTCTACAGCCAGCCCTTCACATCCACGGATTAAAGCAGGCCCAAATCAAACACTACAGTATTTTTGAACCACAATTGGTTGGATTGCTTGAGCCAAAACCCCTCATAGGAAGGACTGACTATGTAGAAAGAAATCCAAGTAGATATAAGTGGGCATAGCCAGTACAGACCTGTGTTGCTCCGAGGTAAACTATAGAGGTAGAAAAAGGAAGGACAGGAGGAAAGGAGAGAGGGAACGAGGGTGAGAGGGAGGGAGGGAGGGAGGAAAATCCAGGCAGCTGTGCTCTTTTCAAGGCTTAGTTATAAATGTGAAGTATTTTACCAGGCTTATTCCGTTGGCGGTGCCTCACCTAACACAGAATATCTGCTTGTGTTTTCACAGTAAGAGTGCTGATGAAGATCAGGTCAAAGACAGACTGCAGCAGTTGAGATGCCATTTCACATGGAAGTTGGTAATTGAAGACGCTGAAGTGACTGATTTAGAAAACAGGGTCTTCGATGAAATTGATTTCCTAGACACAAAATACATTGTGGCAATGTACAACCTCCTGGCCTATGTGAAACACCTGACAGGCCAGAATAAGGAAGCCCTGCAGAGCTTGCAAGCAGCTGAAGACTTAGTCCAGAAAGAACACGCCAGACAATCGGACGTGAGAAGGCTGGTAACCTGGGGCAACTATGCCTGGCTGTATTACCACATGGGCAGGCTGGCAGAAGCCCAGATTTACCTGGACAAGGTGGAGAACACTTGCAAGCAGCTTGGCAGTCCCTCCTGCTGCACAGTGGAGAGTCCAGAGATGGACTGTGAGGAAGGATGGGCCTTGCTGAAAAGTGGAATAAAGAATTATGAACGGGCTAAAGCCTGCTTTGAAAAGGCTCTGGAGGTGGACCCTGAAAACCCAGAATTTAGCGCCGGTTATGCAATTGCTGTCTATCGCCTGGATGACTTCAACAAAGCACCACAGACTCTACACACCCTACAACAGGCCCTCAGGCTAAATCCAGAAGATGCATATATGAAGGCTCTCCTTGCTGTGACCCTTCAGAGTATAGGACGAGAAGCTGAGGGAGAAAAGTACATTGAGGAAGCACTGAGCAGCAAGTCCTCTCAAACCTACGTGCTTCGATATGCAGGCAAGTTTTACCGAAGAAAAGGTTCTGTAGATAAAGCTGTTCAGCTCTTAAACGCGGCTTTGCGGGCAACACCGTCCTCTGCCTTCCTGCATCACCAGGTAGGGCTTTGCTACAAGGCACAAATGATTCAAATAAAGAAAGCTAACAATTGGCAGGTGACGGGATGGGATAAAGAACATGTCAACAAATTAGTTCAGATGGCTATGCATGAATTTGAAACAGCCTTGAAGATAAGGCCCATATTTCACCAGGCGTGTATTGACCTTGCTGAGATGCTTGCAGAACTGGGCCACCACGGGGAGGCTGAGGACGCTTTTCAGAAACTGTTGGGCATGGGGGTCCTTGATGATGATAACCTACAGCAAGACCTTCACTTCCGCTATGGCCGATTTCAAGAATTTCACAGGAAATCCGAAGTCAATGCAGTTATCCATTATTTAAAAGCAATAAACATAGACAACTCATCCTTTACAGGCAATAATAGTCTCAAAGCTCTGGAGAAATTGGTTTTAAGGAAACTCTGGAGAAATGCAGCAGATGTGGAAAGCTTGAGCATCCTTGGGTTCGTCTACAAATTGAATGGAGAAATGAACAAAGCCCTGGAGTATTATGAGCAGGCCCTGAGGCTGGCTGCTGGCTTTGAGAACTCCGTGGGACATGTTCCTTAAGTGCTGAAAGAAATGTGGACCGCTTTCCCATTTCATCTGATTTTATGTTAACTTGTTCTAGCCATCTTTTCTGTTTGCTGATTTCCAACTCATGTTATTTTTGAGCGAATACTCACTTGTTACCTGAATCCAGAAAACAGTGAAACAAAATCCTATGGCTCTATGTGTAAGAGAGGCATAGGCATAAGCCATTTCTCTGAGAATGCTATGTAGTAGAAATAACAGTCTGTTAAGTCGATTTGGTACAAATAAAACACTGTGCTTGCATAGAGTAAAATGATTCATTCATTTTGTCAACAGACGGTTTTCAGTGCTAGATACCAAACATACTATGGTGATGTAAGAAGTTTATTTTTTTGTTTACCCGTCTTACGAGTCTTCACTGAGGCCCACTGATTTAGACTATGAAATGACAAATTAACAAGAGAGAAACAACTGAAAGTGTATTAACATGTGCATTTCAAATCACATGGCAGTGAGTCATCACTGGATGATAGATAGTTAGAACTTATATATATATAGCATCTTAATAGAAAAACAACATACTTATATATACTTATATATACACTTATATATGTATACTTATATACTTTTATATATATACTTTTATATATAGCATGCTTATATATATAGCATATATAGCGTCTTAATAGAAAAACAACCAATTTTTATAGAAGTGATAAGATAAAGGAAAAAAGTCTGAGCATGTAGGGTGGAGATATATAGGAAGGCAAATATATGGGGGAACTACTGGAAGACAGTCTCTAATTACTAAGGTCTGTCATGCAGATTCCTTTGATTGTGACTCTGGGCCGGTAAGACGTGGAGTAGTTTCAGGTGAGGCCCCTCTGTCCGAACGGAGGGAAGAGGAACAACTTTAGGGGATTATGCCCTGATTTTTAGGGACAAAGGGAGATGGCAGAGCTTGTGTTCTGTAGCCCCCCAAACCCACTCCAGAAGGAAAGCATTCCTACGAAAGCTTTTGTAAGACAAGAATGCACCATAGCAAAGACGCAACTACCTTAGGAGAGATTTTGCAAAAGAAATGGAGCGAGAGCAGAGAGGCCCACAGACGCGGTGCAAAGCCTGGCAGTGTCCCGCGGAGGTGCCCAGTGTGCCTGCCGGGGAAGGAGCGGGGGAGGAGCGTAGCTGCTGGGGGAGGGCGCTGCCCCTATAAAGACGCTGGGCAAAACAAAAGAGGAACACTATTCTTTTTGGCCTTTTGCACAAAAGCACAAGCCCTCTTTGAAACGTTCGATGAGCAAAAACAAGTTCTAACATAAGTCTTTTGTAAAAATGAATAGCACGAAGAGAACTTTTGAAAAGCGGGGATACCTGTGCCTGCTTCTCCTCAGTCTCCTTCCGCTTAAAATAGTCCTCAGGCCAAAGTGGCAAACTTTGGAGTGGCATATATTGCTCCCCTTCAGGGGACAAAGCGGACATTTTCTTCAAAGCTCGTGCAACTTACAGCCTAGTGAGAGAGACAGACAGTAGAACGTGTACAGTCATGTGTTGCGTAACATGAGCATAGACCAGACCCAAGGTGGCAGAGGAAGAACTGGAAGCTACACAACCTCCTCTCAGCACTAACCTGGAATTACAACGAATTTGTACAGAAGTCATCCTGAATGAACCAACTGAGCACTAGCTGGAGAGAAGCCTTATAACCAAATGTTATGGGAGAAGCTCCCAGAAACTTGGTTCTTCTTGCTGACACGGTAAAATAGTACATTTCAGCAAGCGTGTTAGCATGCAAGTAACGTTTATTTAGTGGTAAGTTGTAATGGGAGAGCAACAGCGAGGGTGGAAAGGGCAGGTGAACAAAGCAGGTTGGTGGAGGCCAGGTGTCCATGGGCAACCCATGGGGCAAAAGATCCAAGAGACCAGGTGCTTTGTTCTGAGGACTTACATAGCGGATGGCAGACGAGTGAAGAAGTTACATATGGATTAACAGGTAATGGTGGAGCCATCTTTCCCAGGGTGAAGTTGCTACGCATATGTAGTTATGTGTGAGGTATGAGAGCTTGAATCCTTATCTTGCTCCAGACTCTATCTGTTCATTTTACATGCATGACAGGAGGCAGGCAATTAACCAAAGTTGTTTTATGGGCTTCCCTGTGGATCTCCTCCCTGTCCCCCTTCCAAGCCTTGGGATGAATATACAGTCTTAAGGTTTTCCTTTTCCCAGCGAGCGCACATGACACAAAAACCGTCAAGGGCCGCCCTGCCACCCCGCACTGTCATAGTTTTGTTGGTGTTGTTCAGAATGTTTGGCAGTCTATTCGAACCAGCCTCAGAACTGCTGGGTCAACGGCTGAGACACGTCTTCCTTTGCTCTTAGCCTCCTGTATTAAGTGCTTTGTCAGATGGCAATGGTAAGGGCCTTGCTTTTATATCCCCTCTCACCACTCATTCCTAGCTACAGTGTAACACAAACACAGACAGAAGAAACCACTTCACCCCCACGTGATTGGTAGGGAGTATGGGGGAGGCACAAGAGGGCTAGCTGGGCTCCCACAGGTGGCAACTGAAGTGCCAGAGGGATATTTCAGTGGCTGGGGTTCCCCCTGAGAAGTGGGGGATCTAAACCCTAAGCTGGGCTCTACGGCCTACCGAACCTGGAACTCAGATCATATCCAGCTGTGAAAAGCAGTGGCATTTCTGTCTGCCAGGTAGAAGCTGCTCGAGATGCAGAGAGGCTCTTAAAGTGCCAACGCACAGAACGTTGTTTGCAGCCACTTAAGCAGGGCTCCGGCAGGGGGATGGCAGAGTGGATTAGAAATGTCTAAGAAGTGTCTCGGTTGGTGGTTCCGAGGAGAGAACCGAAGGACCAGCCCTGTGCTGAGCCATCCCCCACGGTGCAGAAGCCATCTTAGGCAGAGCACTCCCCTCCAGGTGGCATCAGCCTGAGGGGAAGCAACAGCCCCACCCACAGGAATTTCTCTGCCCCACCCTGTGAAGCTTAAGCCAGGCTGCTGAGTACAGCTTGAGGCAATTTACTGGTTAGTTTAAAAACGAAAGCGAATGTCTGGAAGCTCTGAGACGTTAGCTGACCCTTCCCCAGGCTAAGTGCCGATAAAAACCAGTTTGGTGTGAAGCCTGGTTCTTTCTACACAAACCCAGGCCCAGCCGAGGGAGCCACAGGCTGTGGTTTGCTGATAATTCCAAACCAGTTGCCCAGAGGTTGTCACAAGAATCCTCTGACAGAGACCTACACTGGAGTCTTTGCAGATATAAGTAACACAGAAACAAAGGCAAACAAGCAGCCAAAATGGGAAGACAAAGAGATAGACCTCACATGAAAGAACAAAAATATTTTCCAGAAGAACTAGATGATACGGAGACAAGCAGTTTATCAGATAGAGAATATGAAGTACTGGTTAGAAGGTGATGCGACAGCATGAAAAAAGACATAGACACGATGAAAATGGGCCAGTCAGAAATAAAACGTGCAATATCTGAAATAAATAATACACTGGAAGGAATAAACAGTAGGTTAGATGCAGCAGAGGACTGAATCAGTGATTGGAGGACCAGGCGGAAGAAGACACCTAGGCAGAGCAGCAAAAAGAGAAGGGAAGTTTTAAGAAATGAAGGGCACTTACAAAAGATTTTCGAGAACACGAAGGGTAACAACATCTGCGTGGAAATACCAGAAGAGAAGAGAGTGACCAAGGCATCGAGAGCCTATTTGAAGAAATGATGACTGAACAATTCCCTGATCTGTTGAAGGAAAAGACACACAAATCCAGGAAGCTCCAAGAGACCCAAACAAGCTGAACACAGGAGGCCTGCCCTGAGACACATCATGAATAGTATTCCTTGAATACTAGCCCTAAACAAAGCAGGCTCCAGGCCAGAAGGTGAAGTAACTATCACGAGCCGCTCATGTGAGCCTACTCAAGGCTGCAGGGCAGTTTAGCACACTCGGGCTCAAGGCTGTGAGACCTGGGCTCAAGGCTGTGGGAAAGCTGCTTTATCAGACTCCTTCCAGGCTGTGAGGAGCTGCTCCCTCCTGTTACCCACACATCTGAGTGAGGGAGCCAGACCGCCTCCATGTACCCTACAGATCCCATCAACAGTGGCTTCAAAAAAAATAAAATACCTAGGAATAAACCTAACCAAGGATGTAAAAGACCTGTACTCGGAAAATTATAAGACATGGAAGGAAGACATTGGAGAAGATACAAATAAGTGGCAGTCCATACTGTGGTCATCAACAGGAAGAATTAACACCATTAAAATGTCCATAGTACCCAAAGCACTCTGTAGATGCAACACAATTCCTATCATGATCCCAATGATGTGTTTCTTAGAGCTAGAAGAAATATTTCAAAAGTTGAAATGGAATCACAAAAGACTCTGCATAGTAACAATATACCTAAGGAAGAAGAACAAAGTTGGAAGAATCACACTCCCTAATATCAAACTATACTATAAGCCCATAGTGATCAAATCAGCACGGGCCTCATGAGCCTGGCGTAAAAATAGGCCCATAGATCAATGGAACAGAATAGAGAGCCTACAAAACGACCCACACCTTTTCGTCAATCAAGACTCCACAGACGAGGCAAGCACATACAATAGGTTATAGACAGTTCATTCAAGAAATGGTGTTGGGAATCCTGGGCAGATATGTGCAGGAAAATGAAACTAGACCACCTTCTTACACCACACACAAGCATAAACTCAAAACGGATTCCCACTTCTGGGAATATATCTGAAGGAACTCCAAACACGAGTTTGGAAAAACATAAGCACCCCGAGGTTCACTATAGCATTATTTACAATCGCCAAGACATGGGAGCAGCCCAAGTGTCCCTCAGTAGATGAGTGGATAAACAACTATGGGACATTTACACAGTAGAGTACACTCTGGCCATAAAAAAGAAGAGAATTTCACCCTTTGTGACGGTATGGGTGGACTCAGAGATCATTGTGCTAAGTGAAATAAGCAAGCCAGAGAAGGACAAATACCGTGTGATTTCACTCCTACTTGGAATCTAATGAACAAACTGAACGCACAATGAAAATAGACACGGGCTCCTAGATGGAGGCATGGATGAAAGCTGAAGGCGGGAAAGTTAGGAGGTGGAATTTTGAGCAAAAAGGAGAAGGGACTCACGG